TGTCATCAGGGAAATGCAAATTAAGACACAGTGAGATACTGCAGCACACTTATTACAACTTTTTTTTAACTGAAAATACCAATTATTGGCAAAGATGTGAAACAATATAACCACTGTGCCACTAGGGAACCCATGATCAACTTCTATGTTTGCTTCATCCTATCATCATATTGTGCCTACTGTTTATTCTGAATCCATTGGGAGCCAGCTATCCATGGAATGCCCTGTTATCCCTTGATACTACAATGGATGTTTCCTACTAAGAAGAGCACTCTTCTATATGACCACACTGATACAATTTGCTATCTGATCCACAGATTCCTTTTTAATTGTGCTGATTATTATAATTATGTTCTTTCTAGGCCAGTATTTTTTAGAGTCCTTTATTTTAGACAGATGGACAAATTTGAGCACAGATTGGTTAAATGATATAAACAAGTTGTTTTGTTTGTAGTATATGTGCAGAAGGGAGCACTAAAAGTTATGATTTAAGGTTTAAAGATGACATTGTTTGGAAAAAAGTCCTTATCAAAAATTGATAATTAACTATTTCTAGAAAAATGATATGATGTGTGAGGGTAAAGTTGTTTTCTCCTTAGAAAAACGGGACAAGACCACCACCTTCCACGATCATGGCCTGTGTGAGCATGCTGGTGGCTCAGCCATGGGAGCTGATGAAGCAATGGCTGGCCTGTCTCTCCACCTGAGATAAATGGCACTTGCCTCTGGTTCCCTGACTAAAACGGTAGAAGGCAGCAGTCAGTCACTGCATGTCCGCAACCTTATCCTCCCCTCCCATCTGTGAATAACTTGGCTGATGTGTTCATGCTTCTATGTAAGCCTTCAAAGAACAGTGAGCTGTCCTTTGTGTAACTTTGTCATGAGTTGCAGGCTCTGTGCAGGAAAGGCATTTAAGCCTGAGACCCTGAAGGATCTATACTGCGGGGCCCCATGTCTCAGCTTTTGGCTGTCCCTTTTGCAGATACGTTTTCTCCTTGTAGATTATACCCTCTTGAACCTGTTGGATTTGTAAGATAAGAGCCGGTCTCTCTATTATCTTATAATGATGTCTGAGATTTTTCTTTAAAATATACTTCTAGGAGAAATGAAATATGGTTAGCAAAATGCCTATGGTTGGTGAATGGGGTTATAATAATACTTCCTCTACTTTTATGTATGTCTGAAAATGTCTGTAATTAGACTTTTTAAGACCAATAGAAAAACAATAAATTTTTTAAAAGGAAAAACAATCCATTTAAGAATCAAATGATATGACCATAATTATGATTTGGTCTGCAATCATCTGCAGCATTCTGGCTGCAGAGGGAGGAACTGCTTAAAGCGGGACAGAAATAAAGACAGGGTGACTGGCTAAAGAGCCATTGAAATAATACAGGGAAGAGATGCTTGTAGCCTGAACTGAATTAGTGGTAGTGAGATGGTGCAAAAGTAGATGGATGCGGGAAATGTTTAAAAGATGACAATAACCAAAGTTGGTGACTATATGAATGTGAGGACTGAGAGAAGAGAGAAACAGAGGAGCCCAGGATGATAGATGGCGTGGGCCACTAGGATGTGGTGGGGTCGTGTACCCTGCTAGGACAGAGGAAAAGGAACAGGTTCCAGGCGAAAGAAGGAGAAGATGACTTAAGTGGCCTTAGGACAAGCTAGTGTTATTTGTGTTAACTGGCCAGAAGTTAAGTGGATAGATGACACCCCCCCCCAAATACTGTAGTAATCATTATTTATCAAACAGTTCTAAGTGGAAGCAAGGGAGACAGAGGAATTATTGCTTAAACATAACTTGTGGGTAATAAGATATAATTATTCTAAGGTGACCTGCAGCATTAGCAGGCGACTGAAAATGAATTGCTGAGAATGATGAGGGCAATGAATGTACAAATGTGCTTTACACAATTGATGTATGTATAGATTGTGGTAAGAGTTGTATGAGCCCCTAATAAAACAATTGAAAAAAGAAAGAAAATTAATTTCAAGGGCATTGTCTGGGTAGATAAGCAGGTTACTTCATAAATTTGAATAGTATGATGGGAGGCAAAGTGTAACAGAAAAGCTCTCCCAAAATTTGTACTAAGTGAAATGGGTAAGGTACATAATTTACTTTGTGGGAATATAACTCATAAAGATGCCTGAATTGCAAGGCAATTTTAAGTCCCAAGGTGCTTCTGGAGTTCCCTAAAGGTGGGAATGTAAGGGCAGAGGGCATGTTTAAGGATTGTGTGTTTATGGGGAGGGGGTTGAATTTAGAGATACTTAAAGGAGCCCTGGTGGTGTAGTTGGTTATCCATTGAGCTACAAGGTCAGTGGTTTGAACCTACTAGTCATTCCTCAGTCTATGTGGTAGTTACACAATCTGGTGTCCATTTGGGACTTGAACGGATTAAGATTGAAGGTGAGGAGGCTAGTTTGTCAATCAGGTCATAGTCAATACATGTGGGCATGGCCTTCCCCTGAGCATTCTGGGAATTCCTGTATTTCCTCCTTGGAGGTGGGAGTCTCTCTCTCTCTCTCTTTCTCGGCCCATTCCCTGAGAGACACTCTATTTACAAGACATATGGTGCTACGCTGATAAAGCCTGTGCCCTGGGGGCTGGAGAAGCCACGTGGAGACCCCTGCCAGCACTGAGATGCTTATACTGGATCCACAAGACTTTCCATCCATAAGCCTGTGATCCTCCTACATCCGGCATCATGCATGTGTCTCATGAGTCTGAAGAGGACTTTATAGATTGATATCAGACATATGGGCTAATACAGGACTTATGGACTTGATCTGGACTGGGCTGGGATGTTTTCTCAATATCCAGTTGCTCTTGTATATAAAGCTCTTTCTTATACACATATGAATGTCTCTATGAATTTGTTTCTGCTAACACAGCCTGCCCTAGTCAAGTTTCTAAACGGCTTGGAAACCCAAAGGGGCAGTTCTATTCCCTCCTGTAACCAAAACCCAAACAAAAGAAATCTGCACTGCCGTCGAGTCAATTCTGACTCATAATGACCCTATAGGACAGAGCAGACCTGCCCCTGTGGGTTTGGTTTCCAAGACTGAACTCTTTACAGGAGTAGAAAACGTCATCTTTCTGTTGTGGTGCTCCTGGGTGGTTTCAAACTTCTGATCTTTTTGGTTAGCAGCCCAAAGCCTAACCCACTACACCACCAAGGCTCTTACTCTGTTCTTTAGGTTGTTATAGTTGATTAGCATGATTAGAGGTGGGATAATTGACTCAGTGGCAGAGAGTTTGGTTTTGGGAACTAGGAAGAAGAAAAGGGGAACTAGAAAACTCTGTAGGACAGTCCTAATCTGTCATACGAAAGCAATGAATGTGCAACTAACAACAATAAATCTCGTGGGAAAGTGCCAGAAGTATGAAGAGAGTTGGTGTCACCAGTCCAGTAACTCATGGTGTTATCCCCATCATGGACTGCCTCCCATATCAGACCACACAGAATCCTAAGTACTGCTTATTATCAATTTTAATCATAGAATAACATGTAATAAATATAATTAAATATCATAATATTCCATAGATGACACGAACCACATTGTTCTGTAATTACAACATCGTTAGTTGCCAACATTATGAGCTAACTGATAAAAGTCTATAACTTTTTTCTCTGTTTTTTAAAATTGCTGCTTCATTCTCAAAAAAGTTGTTGATGTGGGGTGGAAAGGCGGAACCGATTACAGGTATCTACATATAACCTCCTCCCTGGGGGACGGACAACAGAAAAGTGGGTGAAGGAAGACATTGGACAATACAAGATATGACAAAATAATTTATAAATTATCAAGGATTCATGAGGGGGAGGGGAAAAATGAGCTGATGCCAAGGGCTTAAGTGGAGAGCAAATGTTTTGAGAACGATGAGGGCAACGAATGTACAAATGTGCTTTACACAATTGATGTATGTATGGATTGTGATAAGAGTTGTATGAACCGCCAATAAAATGATTTTTTAAAACTTGTTGATGTAAGTTCACAAATGCTAATTACCACAATATTATAGCTAAAACACAATAAAAATTGGCTATCAGGATCTGCATACACTGGCCCCAAACAATTGTGGGTGCTTGCAGTGTGTGCAGAGGAAATGTGCGATTCAAAGCATGGTAATTGAGTAATAATGACAGCTCGGCCCTAAGAGCATTGGCAGGTTCGAGAAGAAAATTAGCATAGAATTTTAACCTTATAGGTATATTGGTTACATGTTTTTGCTTTTGTAACTACAGGAATATTCTTATTAAAATTCTAAATTTCTGCTGACACACTGCACACAAAAAAACCTTATAGACGTAATTTTGGTGTCACCCCCAACCCCCGGGCAGTGTTCCCAGTGGGGTCTGCACAACCCCACTAGTGATGCCGGTGGGAGGGACCATGGTAAGGTAAAGATTTGAGAGCCAATCAAAGGCTGCCTCTCACTACCTATGCCAAGGTAGAGTAATTGTAAGCGCTTCTGTTTAAAAGAAAAAACGGAGAGGGGAGGGGGACACACAAAAAGTGTTTACTGCAAACCGCACAGTTTGGCGTTGTCATTCCCTTCTGCGTGATTTGATCTCCCACGTTCCTGCACGTTCCCGCGCAGTAGTGTGCAAAGCCCTTTCGCTCAGTGTCCCTCTGGCTCAGTTGTGGTGGTCAGGTGCCCTTGGACCCCCATGAACACCACCCACGTCTCAAAAAAAACCCACTCGCTGCCATCGAGTTAAATCCGACCCTTAGCGACCCTATAGGAAGGGCTATTCAAGAATGTAACTCTTCTCTGCAGTAGAAAGCCTTTTTTTTCTCCAGCGACAAGACACTGCGGAGTGGCGTAGCCCTTCCCGCGCTGAGCCCCGCCCCAGTCGCCGGGCGCTGAGCCCCGCCCCAAGCCCGCCCACGGCCGGAGTCCTGCCCCCGAGTCCGCCCAGGACACGCCCCCTGGGCCCACCGGCGTTGCCTCAGCCTTCAGGCCGCCGTGCCGGGGCCGCGGCGCTGCCATGGCTGGGAGCCGCGCAGCCCCCGGGCGCGGCCGCGACGAGCCGCCCGAGAGCTACCTGCAGCGGCAGGACCACGAGCTGCAGGCGCTGGAGGCCATCTACGGCGCCGACTTCCAGGACCTGCGGCCAGACGCGTGCGGACTGGTAAGAACGTGGCTTGTCCTGGCCCGGCCTCCCGGGCCCTGGGCCCGCGCTGAGACGCTTCCTGATTGGGCTGCCCTTTGGGGACCCTGCAGCCCTCCCATTCCGCCTACGTTTACTTGTTCCTTCACCGCAGCCCCCGGGCCAGGTCCCCGGAGCTGCCACCTGGGCCCAGTTCTCCTACATCCTTTCCCTCAAGTGGGCTCTCTGACCTGGTCCTGCCGCTTAGAATCCCAGTGACATTTACCCCAAAGCATGCCTACCACCCTTGCCCTGCTTTTCCTGATAGCCCTGGAGGATGATACAACCTACTGAGAGTGAACCCCTTGCAACTTTGCTCGGGGAACGCTTTGGGGGCGCTACTGCAGACCTTCTGGATTACTCGCCGTCAGGACCGTCTTCAAAGCTCGCCCTCCCGCCGGTGTATTCAAACCGATGAGCCACACAACCCCCTCTTCCCTCTCCACGCATCCTGGCTGTGCCTGTCTGCCTCAGAGAAACCTACATATGACCATGCCCTTCACACATTCATCTTAGCTGTCACGGAGAAGGGAGTGTCCCAAGGTTCCAAATTTGTTTAAAATAGGATTTTCCTTATGGTCTGGAAGTAAGTTAGGGCACATGACAAGCTGCCAGTACTTGGCAGCTTTTCCTGATCTTTGACAGTTGCTTCTATGGATGTTATGTGAAAAGCGCTACCTTCCTTCATCTGCCTTTAATTCTATCATTCCACAGCATCTGCTTCATCTACACATCCAGGATTTCCCCCACCCCCCAATTAGATCTTCCGGACCTGTCAGTGTGTGCTGCTTTCCTTCACTCAGTCTTTATTCTTCTGGGCCTTGGGACTACAGCAGAAACCCTAGCCCCTCTCTTCTAGTGCTTAATTTGAAAAATTAGCCCGAAATTGTAACAGGTGTAACAATTTTCTAGAGATCTGGCAACTTCACTGTTCATTCCAAAACAGGATTGAGAATCAGGAAGTAAGCCCATTAAACAAGCCAACCAAAATAAACATCATAAAGTATCCACCCATGCCTAAGGCAAGAGCCCCTAAGATTTTGTTCAGATCCTATATATTTTATATACACTTAATTGGCCCAAGGTTACAAGAAAAATAGAAAGGAAAGGAGCTGCTGAAGGTAGGGATACTGGCAATCTTGAGACTTTACAGCTGATGGCCTTAGTAACAAGATAAAATCCCTTCCCACTGCCCATCCCACCCTTCCAAAAAATAAGCTGTAGGAGGTAGAATTCCACCTGTCTATGGTTTGTGCTGCACAGGGCAAATGACTCCAAGCACTTATTAGGCCCCTAAGGCAAATAACTGATGGTCATAAGGATGAATCAGAATTTAATCACTCAGGTATTTAATATCCATCACCTGACAGTTGTCAGTCTATAGGCCCATGAATCCCTTACCCCAAGCCCCTGATACCTTCAGAATTCAGAAGTTTCCCTGCTCATGTTCTTGGAAGCTTGTCCCACATATTACATAATACTCCTTTGGGTGTCTGGAGCAGCATCCATAAATCAAACACAATAAAGAAACACATGAATGTTCCAATATTCACACTGAGCTGGAAAAATAAAGCTTGCCTATAGCTTGTCAGGTCAGGCCAAATTTCCTGCCAGGATCTTTGTATCTTTGTAACTTTGGGGGAAGGAGTGGCGATGTGTTATCATACTGATTTTAGTTTAGTAGCACAGGTGTATTATTTTTAAATAAGTAGACATCTGGACACTACCGGTTAACGATTTTCTCTATAGTTATCAAGTGATTATTAGTGGAATGATCTTGGCTAGGCACCCAGCAGAGGGTCTGGGCTTTTATATTTTGTTGGTGTGCAAATCGCCCTCCAAAAAACCTGCTCTGTGTCTGGACCCAGCAGGAGAGGATTTGTTTTCCCATAGCTTTACTAACATTGTATATGTCATTGTTTTTCACCATTGCCAAAAGATAGATGAGACACGTCTCTGTTTAATATGTTCCTTCAGTTATAATAAATCATGTAGAACATCTTTCTTTCTTTTTTTCTTTATCATTTTATTAGGGGCTCATACGACTCTTATCACAATCCATACATACATCAATTGTGTAAAGCGCATTTGTACACTCATTGCCCAGAACATCTTTCTAAGTTGTGAATTTTTCTTTGTGATCTCTTTCATGTTTTTGTCCCTTTCTACTGTTTTGAGTTTTCTTATTCATTTGTAAGGACTTTACATATTAAGGAAATGAGCATTTGGGGCCATACATTGCCAATATTTCCTCTAATTCACCATGTGTGTATAGATATTTATGTTTTTTTTTAATATATCAAATTGGACTGTTTCCTGTTTGATCGTCCCTGCAGTTCTTTCTAGAAGACTTCCTTATCATAATGTCATTTTTAAGAAGGAATCTTCCACAGACTTTTTGTTTCAATTCTTTCATCACTTCATTTTGGAATTAACATCAAATAACTATAGAAAAGTTTGAAGCACAAAACCAAACTCACTGCCACCGAGTCAGCTGGGACTCACAGTGACCCTAACAGGACCGAGTGGAGCGACTCTGAGTTTCTGAGACTGTAGCGCTTAGTGGGAGTAGAGAGCCTCATCTTTCTCCCTCGGAGCTGCTGGTGTTGTGCTGACCCTGCAGTTAGCCGCCCAGTCTATAACCACTATGCTACCATGGCTCCCTCCCCCTTTTTTTTCCTCCTTGGGGGAAATTGCCCAACCTCAGTTATGCTTGGCATGCCTTCCAGCCTTCTAGCACCATGTTAGATAGACAATACTTAGCTAATCATAAAGTCAGTCTCCTCAAAGTAGAGTTCACTTTAATGATGTAAATGGAGCAGAACTTTTGAGTCGTTCATTTACTGATATGGCACAACCCAAATTGAGAATAAATAGTGGCAAACATCCATTACTAATTGGAACATGGAGTGTATAAAGTAGGGATTGGGGAAAATTAGAAGTCATCAGAAATGCAATGGAACACATGAACATTGAGATCCTAAGCACTACTGAGCTGAAATGTACTGGTCTTGGCCATTTTGAAACAGATAATATTGTCTATTATTTTGGGAATGATTCTGAAATGGAATGGTATTAAAAAGAACATTCCAAGATCTGTCCTGAAGTACAACTGTCAATGATAGGACAATATCCATGTGCCCACATGGAAGACCAATTAATACAACTATTACTCAAATTTATGCACCAACAACTAATGCCAAAGATGAAGAAATTAAAGTTTTCTACTAAACTTACATAACCTAAAATTGATCAAACGTAGTCACGATGCATTGATAATTACAAAAGTTAGAACTAAAGACGGATTGGTAGCTGGAAAATATGACCTTGGCGATAGAAATGATGCTTCAATAGCTTATTCATCGCAAATACCTCTTTTCAGCAATGTAAACAACTTTACACGTGGACCTGGAGGGTTGGAATACACAGGAATCAAGTAGACTGACTAAATTTGTGGAAGAGGCAGTGGAGAAACTCAATACTATTAGTCAGAACAGGTCCAAGACTGCCTGTGGAAAAAACTTAGAATTTTTTCTCAGAAGCAAGTCCCAAGTTAAAGCTGAAAATAAAAACAAGTCCTGAAGAGTCAAAATATGACCTTGAATGTCTCCTTCCTGTGTTAAAGATTATGTGAGGAACAGAATTGAAGCATTGAGCATTAATGACCAGAAACCATTTGATGTTATTATTGGATAACATCAAAAACACGAAGAAAGCAAAGGGTCGTCAAAAAGAAAGAAAAGACCAGAGTGGCGTCAGAAGAGACTCTGAAACTAGCTCTTGAACTTAAGAGTCGCTAATGCAAATGGGAAAAAATTGGAAGACAACTTCCTGACCAACCAACTTTGGGCCCCTCCCAAAGAAAGGTAATGCAATGAATGGAATGCTGAAACTATTGAACAATATTACTAATATAACCTGCAAGTAAGTTTTTTTCTGAGGATAATTATAAAACCACGGCAGCAGTACTTGGACAGGGAACTGCCAGAAATTCAAGCTGGATTCAGAAGAGGACATGAAATAAGGGATATCATTCTCAATGTCAGATGGATCTTGGCTGAAAGCAGGGAATACTAGAGGGACTGTGCAAAGTCGTCTGTGTTCGTCACCACAAATTATGGATGGCAGTGTGAAGAATCGGAATTCCAGAACCCTTAGGGAGGAGCAGTGAACTATGTAATGTGACTTTTCTAGCCAGTTACATTAATTTCTACCAAACGACCTTTTCCTGCATGGGTCTGGGTGAAAAGGTGTTGGGGGGTGTTGGGGGCGGGAGACACTGATAGGATTCACCTGTGATTAACTGTTAATAGGCTCCATTGCGCTCACTGGTCTGCTGGGTAGAAAATGAGCCCTCTGAGGAGGAGGAGGGAAGATCTCATTACCAGTGAGAGCCTGAGTGGGGCACATCCTACGGATCCTGCATCTGGATCTTGGGCCTGATTTCACCAGCTTCCAGAGCCTGGGGGATAAGGAGGCCCCTCCAGACAGACATCTGAATTTTATTTGGGTCTTATCAGCCCCCACAAGACGTGAGCCATTTTTGGTTACACTGTGGATTCTGAGTGGCTATTACAACGGATTGCAGAATCCTGGGGTGTAAGGGATTATACTTAGGGAAGGAGTTGGTGGCTGATGTCAGAGATGATGGAGTGGTACAGCAGGGTGGAAAGGTGGGACCTTTGGAATGTATTTAATTTCCACCATCTTGAGACCAATCTTGTGTTAATTTTCATGAAGGCAATTGTTACTACAACTTAACTGTGCTCATGGTGCACCTGTCTATAAATCAAGAGGCATTTGTTCAGATCGACCCAGGGCATGCTGTATGGTTTTAAGTCAGGAGAGATGTGCATCATGGTTGTATTCTTCCACCATATTCAATCTGTATGCTGAGCAAATCATCTGGGAAGCTGGCCTATTTGAAGAACATGCACCAAGATTAGAAGAAGACTAATCAACAACTTAAATTATGCAGGTGA